ACTCGCCGAGTCCCTCCCTAAAACTCAAGATAAATACTTAAAATAAGATACTTGGGAATCCGGATGTTACAGTCCCCTTCTTAACCCATTAAGACCTTATTTCTCCGACTTAACACGTCCAAATGCAGATCCAATGCCAAAATACCATTAAGAGTCTCAAAGTTTGCAACTTTATGACTTTGCATGCCCATTAAGTGCTTAATACACAAAATCTCAACATCTTAATGCCTTAAGACCTTCTATAGCATGCATGGAGTAAAACTAACCATCAAGACCACCTTTTTATGACTTAAGACCCCTCATAAGGTATAAAAGGACGAATTATTAGGTCAAGAGCATGCCATGCTCAAGAATCACCATATTTGGGACCAAAAAACCCCTAAAGGAAGAAATGACTAGATCTACAAGATAGAGTGATCAAATTATGAAATTTTTTGACAAAAAAACAAAAAAAAAAAGAAAAAAAAATCGATTTTTTAATTTTTTTTTTCAGCGAATTTATAAATAAAGTTGCGATTTTTTATAATATAAAGTGAAAAAAAAGATTTGTGATCTCTAAGTATTTTTTTTATGCATTTTATGATTTTTTTAGAGTTTTTTTATTTTCCATATAACCCTTCCCTATATATATATATATATATATATATATATATATATATATGGGGTCCATCACATGTTACTTTCTATCTATGGTTACTGATCTTATACTGATATAGCACTGTAGTTTGAGTTATTATCTCATTAGTTAGGAAGGATAGATCCCTATTATTAAACCTTGACAAACATGTCCAATTATATTTACAGCAGTAAAATAGGTTTCTAGGTGTTTTAATTATTGTGTAGATTTTTAAAGTGATAGGTTGCAGCAGAAGGCTGATTAATGCTACAAGGACAAAGACACATTCAATTATTTTGGGGGATGCTGAAAAGTGTTTTAGGCAATTTGTTTGAAATTGTCTAATTATAATCCAACAGAATTTTGAATTAATTTACAACTGCATTTTGACTCTAATGTTTGATTTATTTGGTTCGCTTAAATCTGATTTCTGTTTGCATTTTTTGTAGAATTATAAAATCTAATGCATGAATATTCTTGTCTTGTGACATCAACATGAACAAGGTAAGGTAAGGTGAAAGAAGAACCGGAGTCAAAATGCATTCTTTCCCCTTTTTCTTATAGTGAAGCTGAATTTGCTGCCTTCCTTTTGGTGCAATTGTTGGAGCTAAAAGGACCTGGCCCTATATTTAAGTACATTTCTCTTATGAGTTATGAGTAAAAACATCTTAGTACATTGCTATTAGGGTATAATATATAATATATTGTCTATACCGGTGAAAATAGTAAAGTGTGTTGCTATTATGTGTAAATAATTGTAATTAAATTGCTATTAGTTGTAAAGAAATATATAAGTACGTTGCCATTATTAATTTAGTTATTGCTATTATCAGTAAAAACTAAGTATGTTGCGATTATGAGTAAAAACATTTAAATGCATATATTTGTTATGGTTAAAAAATAAAGTACATTGTCTATTTTGGTGAAAAAAAGTACAATATGTTGTTATTTTCATGCGATTTGCTTTTGTAAACGCTTCTGAAAATGTTAATTTATTTTAATATCAACGTTTAATCTTTGAGGGGCATATTAACAGAATGTTTGTTAATTCGTGCTCTCTACCCTTTAGACATTCTTATTTAATTTATACACAAGTCACAAGTGGAGACCAAAAGATACAACTTGTACAAATTCTAACCCTAAACTATCGAATATCACCAAAACCGATCCTTGTTAACGCTCAAATACCCAGCCATTACCTTTCCACCCGTGTTTCTCATTCCATCTATGAGAAAACACCATGTGGAACCCAAAGCTCCAATGAAGTAATCAGCTTCAGTAGCCATTAAAAAGTTAACAAGTGGATAATTTGTGCTGGTTTCTCGACCCAGGCTTGCTTCATATACTGCCATTGTCATGTTTCCCACTTGACGTCTCACATTATTCGAGTAGTAAAACTTCCAATTTCCATACATTTTTGTCTTATCAATCACTTCCTTCATCTCACTTGAAAGCCAAATCCGGTTCAAATCAGGAAACCGATGTCTGATCCGGTTAGCAAGACGCATGTATTCTTCAAACTGAACCACCTTCATTTCACACGCTTTGTCCCCCATCCTCACGTGCACGCTCAACAATGGCCTCGGTGTCCATGGCTCGTGGTTTGACCATACGTATTCTTCAATTCCAGATCTAGAACCTTTCATCCCATCCTGCCATCCATCAAGGTACGCACCCTTTTGTTTCCATGATAAAAAAAAAAAGGGTAAAATGGTAATTTCACACACAAGTTAAACCAACCTGGATGGATTCTGAAACGTGTGCTGAATGAACCAACTCCGCAGCTTCCCATCCGAATGCAGAGTGACGTGCTACATTTAGTAAACCACATGTGTACTCCGTTTGGAACCTCATAAGGTAACGCAAAGCCTGAATAATCAAGTACAAATATCTGAGATTCATCTTTATTAATTATTATATGGCGACAAAATATTTCATAATTAATTACCTGTGCTCGCCACCATCTCCAGTCCATTTTCCGATGGTAGCCGATTAGTTTCCCGTTTATTTCTGTTGTTGGCTGCATGTAACTCCAAGGACTACCCCATACTCTGTAATATACTAATATATAAGCTTTCACTAATTAATCAATTCAAACTTGTTCTTATCTATGATGGTAATTAATTAATTAATTAATTAATTATTACCTTTTGGAACTAGTAAAAAAACATAAAATTACCGTGGGATTGGAGCGGTCCATATCTGCTTTGTTGTGTAGTTTTCTTTTACAGTAATAATTCCCTTCTCCCATGCTTCTTTCACGTTCATGAGTTCAAAAGCTCGATCCCTACACTCTTGTGATGTCTCCGGGAAAAAGTAGCATGACCAACTCGACCTTGATGCACCTAATTAACAACATAATAAGATTGTATATATCATACCCAAATGAGAAATTACTACCCCAAGACAAGACATGATACAACATATATTTGTTAAACAAGACAAGACATGACATAACAAGTTGTTGTGCAACATAAAAACACGTGTAGTAAGTTTGTCTACCTTTACAACCATCATGATCGGCTCGGTTATAGTAGTTTGTGACAAGGACCCTTTTCTCATTAATGGCGATTGCAAGAAGCCCACACATCCCAGCAAACTGGGCTCCCATACCAAATCCTGGTATTCTCTCCCAATCAGAAACAAGAAACCTCACATTTGGATCGCTACAATTCACTGGATGTTGGTGCACCCATATATCGCGTTGCACTTCCCTTGTTAGTGGATAATTGTCCTCGTCTGATCCTTTGATCTGCAATAAACCGTCAATAAATAGTTTATATAAGTAAAACATGCAAACTGTTAAGTGGGACCCATATTAGGGTCCCACCTAACAGCCGATATTACAAAATTGTTATAACAAACACGTACCCATGGAGGGTAAGCACCTTTGGAGTTGATTTGATGACCATTGTACCCTTGTTGCTCATCTTTTGTTGATAAAGGATAGTTACTCAAGAAACCTTTCCACATTATCCATGGTGGTAATTCCCCATTTTCAGTATGCTTATCGAGAAGTCGATTCACTTCACTACTGGACTTACAATTCTCCAAATGAGGAGGTCTATGCACCTTAGATCCATCGGTTGCTGTATTTTGTGAGAAGAGATCCTCACCAGTGTTTGACTTGTTCAATATTGCACTCCAAGCCGAGTAGATTGAGTTGACTGGGTCGTTGACTCGGACCGCAATAATGTTTTGTGATATCAACATTTTTTCTACGGCTTGTGGTTTAAAATCACTTTCTCGACCCGTAAATGCATCTACAAAATAATACAAGTTTATACAACAATGTTAATATTAACTACAATTTCAAATTAGAATATATGCCAAAGTTGAGGTCCAACTGCAAACACTTTTAAAAGAGAGGGTTCCTTTTGTAAATTATATTTTTTGGGATGTCAATTAGGGAATTTTTTTTTTTTTTTTAACTTAATGAGCTTATGGGTGTACTTAATCAGGAGCTTTATATAGTTGTATTTTTTTTTACCTAATTTGTTTAGAATAACTTAATGAATTAAGCCAAAAAGCATACTCCTCTCACATTAAAATTGGCTTTTTATTTTGGAATATAAGGTAAAATGATTATTTAGTCTAACAAAAAACAGACCTTACGTGTACAATATATTTCATTGAGACATACATCATTACTCCGTTCACAAAAAAAAAAAAAAAAAAACATTTACAACGGTTGCAAAACATGAAAAAGAAAGTCAACCTATAGGATTTAAGTTGCAGCAATATATATATATATATATATATATATATATATATATATATATATATATATATCCGGTAAGAAGGAAATT